GCAAGATTGGGGGGGGGTTGGTTAGCGCCATCAGAAGAAGCTTTCCTGTGTAAGGAGGATGGTGAGGGCAAAGCTACCTGAGAAATCTGAGTGAGAGGTGTTTTGTGTCACGCAAAACAAGCACGCAGCAGACACAGGAGAGAATTCATTACACCAAGGCCGTGGAGGGCGCTATTTAAAATGCCTTGTCTGGAGCCAGGTCACATGCTCTTCAGCCATATTCTTGTTCAATAAGCCCTTGAGTTGTTGCCCCTTCCTGCCCCCTGCCTTTCCTGTGGCATCCCAGACCCCTTACGGCAGTGAGATTCACTTCCGTCTGGGCATTTGTCTGTCTGCAGTCAGCTCTGCCACTCTTTTCAGCTGATTCCTGTGAAAAACAGTTCACCGTATCACAAGCAGTTAAGCAACTTTCCATCTCAGAGCTTGCCGTTAGGTGACTTAAGCCATGAGAAAGAAACCCAAATTGGTTCTTTGAGTGTCGTTGGCATAATGAATGTCCTCTTTGTTTATCATGCTTTGTGGAGTATTTTAGATGCAGGGGCTCTGGGTCAGATGGCCTGGGTTCAGACAGTGATGAAGTTGGTTGTGCATTTCAGTCTTTATGTGAGTGTCTGTGAGCGTCTTACTCTAACATCACAGGCTCTTTTGCAGTCCAGTGTGTTTTCATTGTTTTATTAATTATATGTCAATTGGCACAATTCAGTTCAACCTATCAGAGCATATGGCCAATTCAACTGCCCCAGCAGACACCTAATTATCCCTGAAAATGTGTTCTGACAGATATAGTTGTTGTCTGCACTTTCCATTCGTTCTGAATACCAATGGCTTTTGTTATAATTACCCTAATTGCACTGTAAAATTCAGTCACTTGCTTATTAAATGGAACACTCTTAGAAAAAGAGACAACAAGAATCAAAGCTAGTTGTTAAAATTTTTTAAAAAAATCGAAGAGGCAACTCTATTTATAAGGTATACATAGGTTCAGTGCATATACCAACCAACAGAATGTTATGTAAATAACATTTGAGAAAGGAAATTAAAACAAAAAGAAAGAAAGAGCAGCTCCTAACATCTGGAAATTAGCCTGGCATTCACAGCTGGACCGTGTTATCCTCCTGTTGGATATAAACAAGTTCATAGAAAACTGAGTTACTCTGATGCTACATATGATACAGTGAGACAAAACAAGGCCACTTTATAATTTTGTCTAAACATGGGCAAAAAAGAAGGTCGCAGCTATGAACTGTGTCCCCACCAAATTCATATGTTGAAATCCTAACTCTCAGTGTGATGGTACCAGGAGGTGGGTCTTTTGGAGGTTTTTGGTTCTTGGGAGTAGAGCCCTCATGAATGGGATTGGTGTCCCCAGAGTGCTCTGTCAGTCTCTTTCCACTCTGTGAGGACACAATGAGAAATTGGTATTCTACAGCCCAGAAGAAGGCTCTCACCAGATCTTGACCATCCTGGTACCTTGATCTTGGACTTCCCAGCCTCCAGAACTGTGAGAAATAAATTTCTGTTGCTTTAAGCCACCCAGTCTGTGGCATTCTGCTCTAGCATCCCAAAGTGACTGAGAAAGTCAATATGCCACCCACAGAACACCAGACACACCCTTTTTGTTTGCCAAGTGAGTGACTGTTACTTCTTTATCTAATCATAGAATAACCCCAGCTTCCTGATAGCATCCGATCTACAGCAAGTCCCTTGATCCTACCCTGAATCACCTAACCAAAATCTACATACTGTGTATCTGTGTAGCTTCATTTTAACGCTTTCTTACAGAGATACCCACTATTCTCCATGGCACATGCTCATCTTTGCTGCAGCAAGTACTAAACCCAAATTATTCAATTGCAGGTCAGTTCCTGGAGATCTTCAGCTTAGTTCAAATGTTAAAAATAGAATTTAATTGGAAGTCTATATAATTCTCAAATTTCTTGAGTTTCCTCATTGAAGGTAAAACTGTGCAATTTTGTCAGCAATTTCTTCTCATTTTGGGGAAAACGCCTCTGGCTGCTTTCAAGATTTTTTCTTTGTCTTTAGTTTCCAGAAGTTTTATTATGCTGTGTTTTGGTGTAGGTTTATTTGGCTTTTCCTGTTTGGATTTTCTCAACTTCTTGAATCTGTGATTGTATATCTTTTCCGTATTTTGGAAATTTTCAGTCATTTTTTCAAATACTCTATTAGTCTCATCCTCTTTCCCCTCTCTTTTGGGTTCTGAAAATAAATATTTTGGGTCTTTTGTTGTCCCACAGGTCCCTGAGTCTCTGCTCCATTTTCTATTAGGTCTATTTTCTCTTTGTTATTCAGATTGGGTGAACTCTATTGATTTGTCCTCAAGTTCATCTTCTGTGATTTCCAGTCTGCTATGGACCCCATCCAGTGAGTTTTTTAAATTTGCATTTTTCAGCTCTATAATTTCACTTGGTTCTTTTTTATGACTTCTATTTTATTGATGAGATTTTCTGTATTTTCATTTGTTTTCAGAGGAAGTGTGATAGATTGTGGAAGTTGTTGTGATGGCTACTTTGAAATCCTTGTCAGATAAATCCAACATGTGATTTATCATAGGGCTGTGGTCAACTGATTGATTGATTTTTTTTTCCATTCAAGTTGTGATTTTCTTGGTTCTGATATGACAGGTGAATTTTGACTATATCCTAGACATTTTGCTTACTCTGTTAGGAGACTCCGATATTATTTAGGTGGCTTATTTTAGTAGGCATCCAGTCTGCGCAAGTTTAGCATGCAGGTCCTAAACTGCTTCTGAGGGCTGCGGTTCCAATGGTAGTTTACTTTTTATTGTATTAAGGGTGTTGCTTTATTTTATCTGTTTGGTTTATGTGATACCACTTGAGCCCTTGTAGTCCCTGCTAATGCTGCCCAATGGAGCAAAAAGGATTTGCTCAGAAAACTAAAAGTTTTATAATTTTACAAACATGAAGAGAGATTTCACCTAAGAGAATATGCCAATGGCAAATAAACACATGAAAAAATGTCCAACATTTTTAGGCATTAAGGAAATGCAAATTAAAATCACAATAAGAAAATACTACATATGTATTAGAATGGCTAAAATGACAGGTCGTAACAACACCACACGTTTACAAGGATGCAAGAAAACTGGATATATGTACATTGTTGATGAGAATCAAAAATGATGTAGCCATTCTGGAAAACCATTTAGCAGATTTATGTAAAATTAATCCTGTAACTGTCATACATCCCAGCAATTCCATGCTTTATCATTTATCCCACGAATACTACTCTGCAATAAAAACATGAACTGCTAGTATTCAGCAACGTGGATCTGCAGGGAATTATTTTGAGTGAATAGAGCCAATCCCAAGAAGTTATATACCACACAATTCCTTTCATATAGCATTCTTGAAATGACAAATGTATGGAAATGGAGAACAGATTGGTGTTGTCAGGGACTAGGGCAGGGAGAGGAGGGGAGACAGACATGGCAGCAGGAGGCTGAGAGGAGGGATCCTTGTAGGACAGGGTTCCCTATCTGGACAGCGTCAGCATCAGTATTCTGCACTGCACGCTAGTTTTGCAGGGTATTGCCACCGACTCTCTCTGTAATATCCCTTATAACTACATGTTCTGCATTGAACTCAAGATGAAAAGCTTAATTAAAATATCAAGGCCACATCTTCACCTCAGTTACTGATAAGGGACAGATTGATGGGAAAATCCATGTAAATAAAATGTGTGCCTAGACTTTTCTTTAGGTTTACCAGTTCAAGCTAATTATGCTAGCGTATGTATGCTCACTTACACTCATGATACCACCTTGACTGCTTTATAGTGATGAATAAGTTTTAATATAAGCATCCTTCTATTGGAAATGTATAAAGTGCTTGTCTTGGCAATAATCAGCATTAATAAGTGATTAGATTTTCTTTTCCTTATTCTTGCCTTTTTCACATGACCTCTGTTTATCAGCATCTGGAAATGTATGCAGAATGTATATACTAGAATTTCCAAATTCATTAGAGAAATAGAAAAGGAATTCAGGTACAGGAAAAAAAGAGTGGTTAGGGAAGATTCTTTACCACTTTTCACTATATAAGTACAGCCATCTCAATTAAACAACCATGAACTCTTCCCCATATAGGTATCAGTTACAAGTTAGGAATTATTGTGGATAGCTTTAAAACCATGCTCAAATATGAGGCTGCAGTAATACAATAATAATGTAAACCCTGAGCTTCACTATAAAAATATCAGAAACAAATTTTTAAAAATATATTCAGACCCAGTCGTAGTATGTCTGCACGTGGTATATTCTGTAAAGTTTCAGTTACCACAAATCCTAACTGATGTTACCGAACCAGACGTGGGTCCACTCTCCTGTCTCTGATCCTCAGCTTTCTAGTAAATTTACTATTGTGTAAGTAAGCTTATTACTTCCTAAAACTTGGAATAACAAAATAAAGCAATAAGACAGAGATTTTTACAGGCCGTGTGAATGATGCTACAACAATATTATAAGCTCTCCCGATGAAACTAGCATAATTCTCTCTTCATGGCCTTATATAGGCCCATTGCTCCACTAGGGATAGTAATAAATCTATATGATGTTCTCGACTGCTGCATTTTCAATTTGGGTACCTGATTTATCCGACAGATATAATAATACACATTTAGAAACACAGTTCCCAAGCGACTTAAAATATGCTGAGGAGTTTTTATGCATATGCTATTCAAATTAAAGTCAGCAATAACTTCCACTCTGTATATTTTTTTCACTTCTTATCATTTCCTTTTATGATGGATTTGAGAGACTCCCCAAATATGATGAGTTCAAAGCTAAAATGAGAGTGACACTAAGGACGGGGCTTTGGGGAAAATGGAGAAGCAAGCATGTTTTCACACTTCAGTTATGCATTATGGTTTATTTAGCTTCTGAATCAGCCTCCACCGGGGGTGGCCAGGGTCAGCTGTGGGTGTCAGTGGGACTGGTTCCAGTAATGGCCTGTCTCCTTCAGCAGTGCAGCACTGTGACCCAGAGCCTAGGCAGGAGCCTGACAGAAAGAAGCCTGCAGGATGCTCAGACGTTCATTCAGATGTGCGAGACGGTGCAGCCAGTGACCACGGTGCATCCTTCCTGGAGGTTAACAGCCACTTTTTCCATGTGACTGTGGGTGTGGAACAGGGCCAGACTGTGCTCACAGTATCATCTGTTTGGCCACAGGTTGGAGCTCTTCCCTCTCTAAGGAGTTTTCTACCAACTTCTGATTTGAGGTTTAAAATTCCAAACATGTGATTTCAATGCCAAGATTTGGGTCTGCCTTTTTTCTTGACAAGCAGTGAAATACACAGTGCTCCATTATCTTCATCTTCTGTGCTACTTGTAGGAAATCTTAATTTTTCTTTTTTTTTTCATGCTTTGTTTATTTTAATTGCAAAGACAACACTTACTACCTTTGCTAGTGCTTCTTAACTTTTCATAATATAAGCCATTTTTCATGATTGTTTGAATGTAATTTTAATGTAATTTTGTGTAATTTAAGGCAATAGAGCATTTGTCAGATGACATTTTTAAGTGAAATAGAATCCTGTGTTTGTCATGATGATTTCTTGTTGGCTCAAAGATAATATAGCAAAATATTTTTGTTGTAGAATGGTACATCAAAGCATTCTTGGAACTATTCCCTTGGTATTTATTCCCTTAGGAAAAAGTAATATTTTGTTATAAATATAGGGGGAAATACTCATTAAGTATGACAACTAGACCTATTCAATTTCCAAATAACTTATTGCAGTAGTACATTAAGTAATGCAGGAATGTCCCATCTCTGCTAATTACACATACAGCTCAAGGTACTGGAGGGCAGCTGCAGGGGGCTCCTTGTAGTTCTGTGTCCTCACCCACCTTTCCCCTTCCTGCGGTCCTCCATGCTCGATACCCTTGGCCTGGAATTTTACCCACTCCCTCCCCATCCCCATTAATTCTTTGCCCAGCAAACAACCTATTCATTCTTCAGGTTCAGTATAATTGGCACTTTCTCAAACAAAATATCCTTTATTTTATCCTAATAATCATTTATATTCCTTGATAAAACTTCTCATTTTGTAATTATGCCTTTATCAGTTTATTTTATTCATTGAGTCACTAAAATTTATTGAATTTTTACTATTTTGTGGTTCATCTGAGCACTGATAAGTAAGATGGTGAATAGACAGGCAGCAGCCTACTCTCGTGGCACTTACATTCGATGGGGACAGCAGATAATGAACCAACCAATAACTCTTTCCATGACAGTGGCCATTTGAAGATGATGTTTGTTTCTATTATGTTTCTAATGACATGATTTTGGAAGCTTCTAATGATGTGTAATGAAACTGGATTTGTAGTTTAATTCTAGAAGAGTCAATTTGTTCAATCAAAACCTGCCTACAAAGGTGTATGTATTGTATATACATATATATTTTTTAAGGTATATATATATATATATATATATATATGTAAAGATTTTTATTCCATTTAATATGTTTGAACAGAATCTAAATCTGGTTCTGTTGCCCAAATTACAGACTTCTAAATGAAATTATCAACAACATTGTTTGCTTTTTAAACAGTGCAGCCATCTGGAAGCTTGAATGCTGTGACTGTTCTGAAGGCTCTCATAACTGGACCAGCCTCCTTCCTGAACTCCTCAGTGAGGGCATTACTCAGGCCTCAGGAGCAGCAAGGATCCCAGGCTGTCTTATCCTGTCTGGGGCTGCAATGGGGTCTTCCACAGGCTTGTTTTTTGTTTGTTTATTTTTTTTTCAATTAACAGCTATTTACAAATCAAAATTATGTGGCATACATAATCAAGATGTTGCTAATTCAAATCAGAGTTAGAATTTGCAGTGAAAGTGCCCATACATACATGGAACCCTTCTGCAGGTTCTATTTCTCATTAGTAAAATTGTTTATTAAACTCAGGGAGAAGAGGTGTTTACAGAGAGTGAAGGTACCTTCTAGCAGGGCAAAACTGTGGATGCACAGAGTTTTAGAGTCCATCTCCAAACCATTTGTAGTGACTCAGGGCAGGCATATAAAAAGTTCTGGAAGCTGGATTCCCAAACAGCTTTTTATGATTGTTTAGACTAGCTTGACAATTCTAACTTTATCACCTCTACAAATTAAAAGTTTTGTGTCTTAACTAACTTCTCGATCTTTTCATTTTAATGATTACAGCATTTTTAATATATTTTGAAAAGAGTACCCTAAAAGAATCAGTTTGATATCTTGGGTTAGAACTTTAGAAAAGGTATCCAAGTTTGGAGACAAGTTATTTTCTCACAGTTTGATTTACTTGAGCAAACACAAATTGGAGAAAACTTGCAGATGACCATTTAAAAAGTTGGTCTATTTTATTTGTCTGTATTACCGAGGAATCAAAGTGATTGTGATGAATTTTATGGTGCATCTCACAGCTCATGCAGCATTTCCTTGCTGCTCACCATCAAGCTGAGTCAAACAGCCTTTCCCAAACACATTCTGGGCCCATTTTCTTGCAGCGCCCACATCTCTGTGCTGTTAGAAATCCAGCCAGGATTAAGCACATTACCTGGGCCCTGTCTGTGTAAATATTATTTTGACTTCTTTGAAGTTCTTCCCAGAGCAGTAGGCAAAATAGTAAATGGTGACTCTTGTAGAGAGTTGATGACTGGTGTTCTATAAATGACCGAGTCTTATATCCAACTAGCTGCTCAGTTCCTCTTAGCAAACAAAAAAGTCAAGTTGTGTTGACCATTTGAATGTTATGGGGATTGTCTCCTTACTTGACTTACAGAACACCATCTATTCTGATTCTTCCCTCCCTCTGTGACTGTTCTTTTGCTGGTTCCACTTCATCTGCCTGCCTGTCCCCACTATAAATGGCTATTTCTTGAGCTCTGTGTGTGGCCATGGTTAAACAGGTTTTCATGAGTCATGAGCAGTATGTTGGGTCAATGAAGAAGGATGAAGTCTGGAATCCAGGAAAGTCACCTTGCCTTTGTTGGTCGACCAGACAGCAGTGAGTGATTAGGATTCCAAGTTGCCTTTTGTCCCCAGTCACCATTTGTTGCCATCTTGTGTCCATGTTAATATCTATTAGGATGAAAGTATAACTATGTGATTGTGTTGGGATTAATGGTTTCAAGAACAGAAGCCGTCTTTTACTATGTTTTTAACTCCATTACACCCAATTGAAAAGGATATGAATTATGGTAGACTTTGCCTTATAGTAATAAACAATCCAGCGATATTTTACTTTGACACATGAAGTTCTACATCTTAAAATGTAACATAATAAAGCTCCTCAGATCTACCATTCCGTACTTTGGCTACTGAGACACTTCACTCTAATAGTATTTACTTTGCATTAGAGGTTAGCCTAAGATGCAGTTGCCTTGAACTCCAGACAGAGAGACTTTAATTAGTAAAGTAAAAAAGGTCACAGTTATGCAGTGACCCTGAATACATACCTCTCTGCCTTGCTGCAGCATACATTATACATTCAATAAATAATTAAAATAAAATTACGTTGCACTTGGGAGCTCTGGCTAACCTTTAAACTTAAAAGTTTTGTTGACTATCAGGAAATGGGCTCCATTGTGTTAATTTAAAATAATATGATGCAAAGGGCTAATTACACCATATGGAAAACAAAACAAAACAAGACCATGAAGTGGGGAGTTGAGTGGCATCAATTCACAGCTTAAATGAAATGCCTTTGTGGGTTGCATGTTGATCAGTAGCCACAAAGCCTCGCTTCTTAAAAGTTCTTGGAAATAAGAACATAATCTTTCCTTATCATTTAATCACTCTCTTTTCTATTTAGAACTTTGGTGCTAAGAGTAAATAGGCTTTTTAAGACTTCTCAGATGCTGCAGAATTGGGGAAATCTATGGAAAGAACATGAATTTTGGCTGGTTTATTACTAAATTTGGCATGTTGAAAGTGTCAAACGAAGTTGGATATGTTGATAAAAATATATTCACATTAATTCCTATATGGATATAAAATTATAGACAGCCACCTCTGCTTTCTAGATGCATGCAGATAGCTGACAACTTGACACAGAAAATAACTTGTAAGTTATATAACTTATAACTTAAAAATTATATGCAGAAAAATAGTCAGGAATTATCTTAAATATGAAATTAAAAATATTTGACAGCTGAGATAATAAAAGGATAATATACTTACACTGACCTTCATAGTTTTTAAGGTGCAAATTCATCTGAGTTTAGCAATATCCTTTCAGTTCCACAGAACTGAATTTTACTAGCACAAACATCAAGATACGTGTAACATACAGTATAGACAAGTGAGCAGTGGAGCTGAATTCAGGCCTGCTTATCCTCACTCCTGATGAATTTAGACTAAACAGTACTGGGCCCTGGTGTGATTAATATTATTAGTTATATAATTAATAAATATTAATTACATAATTTACTGTTTTATTAAGCTCTTTACTTCTCATACCTTAGTCTTCTTGATATAAGTTAAAACCAATAAAAGTACTAGTGAAAATAATAACAATGATAATTATAAAAATAAAATGGAGCGCTATTTCCCTAAATTAAGACATGAGATATTAAGTGATAAAAGTTTTAATGCCATAGCGCATTTTTACTCTATGCTTTTACTTACACTGAATAATTTTTTTTAAATATCACTTGGAATCTAGAATCTAGAAAGGATTACTTCTTTTTTTAAGATCTGCTTTCCTGGTAACTTTCAAATGAGCATGCAGTATTATTAACTATAGTTTAAGGCTAATTTTTTAAAGTAAGTCAATAACAGAAAAAGTCATAGTTAGAACAATACTCTGTGATCAAGACAGTTATGAGCATAGTAAATAGCCCTCAAGAATCATATAAAATACTTGGTGATCTATTTTTCATTAAGTGGAACTTAAGTTTTATTTTTCCACTAGGTAGAATTTTTTTTTATTTCTAAGCACTCTAACTTAAAATGATAGTGCACTGAATTGAGATAGGAGAAGAAAAGTCTGTCAAAAAAGTACAGCTAATGTCCAAATGGAAATAAGAATTATTTCCTTTTAACTGTTTGGCTACATTTTCCTAAATCAGTCTTCCCTCTGTTTTCTAATCTAAGTCATTTAAAAAACTGAAAGTAAGTTTCTATTTAAATAATATCAAATACCAGTTTTATTCAGTATGCTTAAGAAAAGCTTATATACAGATTTTTTTAAAGTAGCTATAACTGAAAAGTCTAAATAATTGTGTCTACAAATGCTAAAAGGCATTGTGCAGAGACAGTTAACACAGCAGACCTGAGACTACAATCCTTAGAAGGACCTGCTTGTCAAGTTTGCGCTTTGTGGGCTTCTGGGAGCTTGAATGGTAAACAGTGGCCTACACTCATATAGGACTTTTCCTAAATGATGATGTGCCTAGACCGTTTATGCAAACAATGTAGTTTATGCTGATCTGCTTTCCTTCTGGGAGACTAAAATTTTTGATGCGTGGTAGTGGAGGGTGCCTATGAGTCCCCCCAAAACGTGGTCACTGAGTCTCTAAAGAGCTGCCTTGTTAGAGGACACGTTACATATTATGACAGCTCATTGCTGGAGGAATTAACCTTGTCTTGTGAGACTCCATTGGGAGAGGCCTTGGAATTTTGTGCCTGGTTTCCCCCAGATCTCGTCCCAATGTGTCCTTTCCCCTTGTCCTTTGTAGCTGGCATTGTAATAAATCTTAGTTACGAGTATAACTGTATGCTAAGTCATGTGAGTTCTTTTAACAAATCATTGAACCTATGGATGATTTTGGAGACCCTGGACACAGGCACAAGAATGGAAAGTGATTATGTTTCTTCTTAAAGTAAAAATTCTAACTTACACATATCTGATCAATAATTTTTAAAATTCCCACATGTTATTATTTTTTAAAATATTGCTCACATATATCATTTATCACATCAAGGAAAGTATCAATATATCACTGGGACAGTCTTGGTCACTAAAGGAAACATCACTGAGACCATCAGTTACTAAGGAAGAAATTCATTTGTCAAGGTGGGCAGTATAGTTTGTGTTTTATATAATATTTTTTTTAAACTGTGATTGCAGCTTGTATTTAAAAACAATGCTAGAATGCAGAATTAGTTGATAAGCATGACAAAAAGGGCATTTAAATGGCAGTTAACGTTTTGAGTGATTTGTAATGTTAACTGTGCTAACAGCTATATATGCATTATCTCATGTAATCTTCTAAGCAGCTTCCAAGTTATGCACTAATATAATCTCCAAGTTACAAGCGAGGATATTGAGATTAGGAGGGGTTACGTGACTTGCAAATACTAGTTACCTAGTCAGTGGCAAAGGCAAGTCTCCACACCAGGCCATTGAACTGTGCAGCTCCTGAGCCCAACCACTGTAATTAATTGTCCCACATTATAAGCTGCTCATGGCAGCCAGTGGAGATACTGTTCATGCGGACAGGCTTGTGTTTATGTCTATCATCAGTAGATAGAAGGGCTGCTTCTCTACCTCGAGTCTCATGATGCCTGTCTGCTATTCGGGAAAGTTAATGGAGTGAGGTTACTTGACCTTTAGTTTGGAAGCATGGAGCATGGTGGAAATGTGTAGAGACTCTTGCTACCTTAAATTTCACTACCTCCAACTCAGGAGTATGTAAAATGCCAAATGTCTGTCACCTCTTCTTTTCATCATTCCCAACCTCAGAAATGGCTGATGAGGGGTAATTGGTGGGAAGAAGAATGAATTGCTCCTTAATTTTACCTCCACATCAATTCCTGAGTTATGTGAAACCATTTTCTCTTACTGTTCTTACAAAGTATTCATGACTTCTAAGAAAGAAAATTAACTTCTCTTTTATTAAACTGCTCTTAAATTTCATTTTCTCCAAGTATCTTCTGTTTGATTTTGGAAAAAAGTCATCTCCAACATTGTTTAGATGATTTAGAGGACACCATCAAGGTGCTTCTGAGGATGTAAAAATTACTCAAGAGCAGCATAAAAACCCATAAAAATGGGATGTATAATTTTGCCTGATCATTGTATGTGTTCTCTTTAGGTAATATTTCTCTTCACATTTGATTTCTTTTCAGATGCTTGAGTACTTTTTTCCCTCAGCTTTAATGATGAATAATTTACAAATATAATTGTTTACATTTAAAATGTAC